GCTACATACCGTACAAAAGCAATCCGAGTGTCTGTCATGTGCTATAAGGGTAATGCATTGTGTAAACTATTCTGGGAATATACAGCGCTCTTATTCGTTGTGTGTTCTATAGATCTGGCTGATATGAGAAATTAAAAATCACATATAAAACAGGCTGTTAAAGTTATGATAGCTCCATATTGTGCTAAAGCAAACATCTCGCAGAGGAAAACCCAACAAGCTCTCTGTGTGTAATCTCCCATTACGGCTTTATGGACGGAGGGTCAGTTTCATAACAAGTGTGCAAATAACCGGACAGCTCTCTCACTACACAGTTTACAGATCTGTGCTAAAGCTATGTAAACTAGAGCGATGCGTGTCAAGCGTACTCGCTTTGCTCAGGGATATTGAGCTGAAACACAATTACTTCACACGTGGCTGGATCTGATCGAGCTGAGATACAACATATCTGAGTGCAGAACAGTATGAGGGTTCATAAAGGAGCATTTAGGAGAGGCTTTTATCTAATGCAATGAGAAATCCAACCCATGCCACGCCCCATCTGAGCTAATTACCGCTTTTAATTAATAAATAAAATGTATTTATTTTAATATTTATTAATATTATTTATTTATTTATTTATTTATTTATAAATAGTGCTTATTAAAATGAAATATGTCATGAGTTTGATAAATAAAAATATGTTTTTGTTTTATTTATTTATTATGCACTATAAATTATTTATTATGAACATAATAGTTTATTACACACTAAACAATGCTGGGTTGTTTGAAGCCAAATTTGGGTCAAATATGGACAAACCCAAATGTTGGGTTAAAAATGTCATTTCAAATTTTAACCAACTGTAATTTTTTTAATTGCATTTTTAACCCAACTATTGGGTTTGTCCATATATTTGACCCAAATTTGGGTTCAAACAATCCAGCATTTTTTTGAGTGTATTATTATTATTATTATTATTATTATTATATTTGACTAGTTTATTTAAGTATAATATTTAAATGATATATAAATAAATTATATATATTGTTTATTTATTATGTATATGTAAATGTATATAATTTATTATTTATATATATATATATATATATAAACACTCTAAAAAATGCTGGGTTGTTTTAACCCAATTTTGGGTCAAATATGGACAAACCCGAAATGTTGGGTTAAAAACGTAATGTTAAAATTTAACCAACGGCTGGGTTAGTCCATATTTGACCCAAAGTTGGGTCAAAACAACCCAGCATTTTTTAGAGTGTATATATATATATATATATATATATATATATTATTTATGTACTGAATATGAATTCATAAATAAAAAATTATTATTATTATTAATATATACAATTATAAATATATTATGTTCATATATTATATATGTATATAGAATTATTTACATTTATTATTTATTATATACATAGTGTGTGTGTGTGTGTGTGTGTGTGTGTGTGTGTGTGTGTGAGTGATTTATTTTACACTCTGGGTTGTTTTAACCCAATTTTGGGTCAAATATGGACAAACCCAGCTGTTGGGTTAAATTTATTAATTGCATTTTTAATCCAACATTTGGGTTTGTCCATATATTTGACCCAAAATTGGGTTAAAAAAAACAGCATTTTTTAGAGTGTAGAATTTATTTATAACGAAAATGTCAAACTAAACATAATGAACAAACAAAATCACAATTATGAATTACTAGTCTGTTATTTAAGAGCCGTCATGTTTTCTTCAAAGACTGAAGCCCAGCCGGTAGAAGTAAAGTTGGCGGGTAATTTGTAGTGAAATACACCAAATGCCCCAAAAGAAAACCTGTCTTAAGATATCAGTTTAACGTCAGGGCTGATCCAGCACTCGTAAATCACAGATCCACAGTTAAATACACATCATAACTTTTTAAGCAAACCAGGGAAAAATCCACACGGATGAATCTGAATCTGACCCTCAAGCAAAAGAATATATCTGATTAAAGCGAGCTTCGAGAAGTGATATTTGAAGATGATTAACACGTAACCGAAGGAACGAGAGATGTAGACGGCAAGAGTTGCTCTCAGGTCACTGATAGGCCGCTGCATGGGAACGGTGCTGTCGCTAGGGGCGACGGAGGGGTCAAAGCACTGGGGTCATCACTGAGGCGTGAGGCCCCTCGGGGCCCGACATACAAAAACATTAACCCTTCCCAGCATTCCACAGACGTCTGCAGTGAGCTGCGATCATGCCACATACTAGCATCCAAACATAGCAACTGAGAATCACTTAGTCCATTTGGATATCTCGACTGTAAGTTTTGAACACTTATATCTTTTTCTTCTTCATTGTTTTGAAGCACACTAGCTTATATAACAGTAAGACGAACATATTCATACTACAAGTAAAAAACTCCCATTTTGGTGTCATGGGGACTTTAACTCACTTTAATTATTCTCTTCAAACTGTGACAGTAGTTGACCTGAAAGAGAAAATGGGGCCTGGTACCAAAAATGACTCTCATACTGTAGCTTATATAAACTGTGAGGGTGATCATTTCACAATAAACATCATTTGAGTGCAGGAAGGATACTATAACATCTCTGTCCTTTCCAAATAAGCAGTAATCTCACTCATACAAAGACTCTGGTGTCCGTGTGTTAGCATTTCCCCGGCTCAGAGGTTTAACTTTCAAACTGTGGCTCTTTCTCATTCCACACTTAATTAAAATATGAACTTTTTTGGGAAACGTGTAAAGTACCGTCAGGCAAAAAAAAAAAAATCTGAAATGTTTTCATAAATTTAAATAAATGCTCACTTAACAAATCTGGTTCATTGAGGAGAAACTGAAATAACAGAGTGAGACTGTTAATCATCTAAACATAATATGACAATATTGCATCTGTATTGAGACCTTTTACTATTTATTGTTCTAATGTTGAGAACATGTCTGGGTCATTTTTCACTCAGACACCAATAAGGAGGGAAATAAACCAATTTCAACCAACCAACCAACCAATTTCAACCAACCCAACCAACCAATTTCAGCCAACCAACCAACCAACCAATTACAACCAACCCAACCAACCAATTTCAACCAACCAACCAACCAAAATTTCAACCAACCAACCAATTGATTTCAACCAACCAACCAACCAGCCGACCAAAAAAACAACCAATCAATTCCAACCAACTAACCAATTTCAACCATCCAATTTCAACCAAACAACCAACCAACCAATTTCAGCCAACCAAAGAACCAAACAACCAATTAATTTCAACCAACCAACCAGCCGACCAAAAAAAACAACCAATCAATTCCAACCAACTAACCAATTTCAACCAACCAATTTCAACCAACCGACAAGCCAACCAACCAAACCAACCAACCAACCGATTTCAGCCAACCAACCAACCAAACAACCAACCAACCAATTTCAACCAACCCAAACAACCAATTTCAACCAACCAACCATCAACCAAAATTTCAACCAACCAACCAATTAATTTCAACCAAGCAGCCGACCAAAAAAACAACCAATCAATTCCAACCAACTAACCAATTTCAACCAAACAACCAACCAACCAATTTCAACCAACCAACCAACCGACCAGCCAACCAACCAAACCAACCAACAGACCAACTAACCGATTTCAGCCATCCAACCAACCAACCAACCAAACAAACAACCAACCAACCAACCAACCAATTTCAACCAACCCAACCAACCAATTTCAACCAACCAACCAATTTCAACCAACCATCCATCAACCAAAATTTCAACCAACCAACCAACCAATTAATTTCAACCAACCAACCAATTAATTTCAACCAACCAACCAATTAATTTTAACCAACCAGCCGACCAAAAAAACAACCAATCAATTCCAACCAACTAACCAATTTCAACCAAACAACCAACCAATTTCAACCTGCCAACCAAAAAACAACCAATCAATTCCAACCAACTAACCAACCCAACCAATCAATTTCAACCAAACCAACCAACCAAACCAACCAATTTCAACCAACCCAACCAACCAATTTCAACCAACCAACCAATTTCAACCAACCATCCATCAACCAAAATTTCAACCAACCAACCAACCAACCAATTAATTTCAACCAACCAACCAATTAATTTCAACCAACCAACCAATTAATTTTAACCAACCAGCCGACCAAAAAAACAACCAATCAATTCCAACCAACCAACCAATTTCAACCAAACAACCAACGAACCAACCAATTTCAACCTGCCAACCAAAAAAACAACCAATCAATTCCAACCAACTAACCAACCCAACCAATCAATTTCAACCAAACCAACCAACCAAACCAACCAATCAATTTCAACCAAACCAACCAACCAATTTCAACCAACCAGCCAAGCAAAAAACCAACCAACCAATTTCAACCAAACAACCAACCAACTAATCAAACAAACAAATAAATACATAAATGTTAAACTGTTAAATACTTTAAACAATATTTGTTCAGCTGATTTTAATTGTAGAAAGAACTCATTGTATTACAGACACATTATTTCTGCACTATAATGAGAATTAAATAATAATGGAAATGTAATAATATTGAGAATTTCAAACACCATCCTGACACTTCACAAAAGGAAAATATGCTTTAGTCTCATAAAACTGCACTAAATTCAGGCTTCATTTTCTGGAAGTAAAATATCATTTCTTCCTTTTACTGTCGAGGTGCACATATGACCCAGAGATGTTTTATGCGATTCGTCTTCATTTAATCATACGAGCGAATGAAAGTGTTTGGTGCTCTATTCTCTGTCAATAATGTTAATATGTTAATAACTGCAAATGATAAATCAAACTCTTGCTCTCGTGTCAAAATGAAAATAATTTATATGTAAAGTTATATCATCATCTCTGTGTGAGCGTCTCTTGGGAAGTGGAGATATGAGTGTGTTTGATTAAAGCAGTGGGTGTCGTAGGTCTGACCTGATGAAAGGGTGTTTGAGGTCAAAGGTCGAGACTCTCACCATTAGCATGTCACTTACCCTCAGGCCTGTGTGTGTTAGTTGACTAAACACAGCGTCCTCTTCCTCGAGCCTTCTTCATAATCATCTTAATAAAGAGTTATGATGGATGGACAGCAGACCCCTGCCCTAAAATATGAGTTTTATTAGATTTTTAAACACAGTTTATATGGGTCAAAGATATGATATTTGCTCTAAGATGTTTTTATTGCCTGTGAGAGTTTAGATAAATGACACACCAAAGATATACAATCGACCACACACACCAACACACACACACACACACACACACACAGATTAACAAACTGGAATGAATATTTCTAAATGTATAACATAGACACCACAAAACATCACAGTTCATCTGATCCGTTTATGATACTTACTATTGTTTGTGCTGTTGTTTTCCCTTCAAAGTGATGTCACTTCCCGGAGGATGATGTCATCATCTGGAACTGGTTAATTAAAGGGACCTTACAAAATATAAAGTTATACTGATGACACAGCAGGACAAACCTATCAATTGATTATGATTAAGGTTTTTCTTCTATTATCCATGATTAGAAAAAAAAAACATTTCCAATTAAAAACTTTTTGATTAGAAATAGAAAAAAAACAAAAACACCTGGAGTATTTATTAATAACTAAACATTATTTCAAATTAAAAGTTAGTGCAGCACCATGACAAAAACATCCACTCAAACATGACTCTTTTCATTTCTAAAGCGCTTTAATTCTTTAAAGGAATTAATTATTACTCAATTCTAATTTGTTCAATTTAATAAATAATATTGCTTGTAATCTGTTGCCACAATTTTATTGATTAGATAAAGCATATTTCGTTTTTACAGTGTAATATAGTTAGGGTAGGACTGGGGATTTGGTTGAGGGTTAGTATGCATAATTTACAGTTATTACTAATCACATGTAACATGTGTAACAAGGACACTGTACAATAGTGTTACCGTGCTTTATACAATACAGATTGTTTCAAAGCAACTTTACAGTGATAATAGGAAAATAATGATTCAATATGTGTCATAATATTCAGCTCAAGGCAGTTCAGTGTTGATTCAGTTCATAAATCATGAAGCATGTTCAATTCAGCTATAAAGCAAATCTGCAGAAAACAGTGATGTTTTCAGTTCAAGTTTAGTTCTCATCCGATAATATTAGGGATGCACCGATATGAAAATTTTGGCCGATACCGATAACCGATAATCCTTTATATTTGAAAGCCGATAACCGATATATCGGCCGATAAACTTAAATCCAAATTTTTATCTAATTTTGAGAGCCTGATTACAAAAACAGAAGTCTCACAATTAAATCCATGTCCCAAGCGCACGATTATAATGATGTTCTTATTATAGTGTTGTATAGATGTTGTCCCGAACAAGATTTTCCATTTTTGAAGAGATTTCAATCATATTTTAAGATATTCAAAAACATAAACAGTGTTCAACAAGTGTCTCAGCTGAAGGGAATAATACATTATTTATCGGCTTTAATATATCGGCCAAATTTTCTTACCAGGCCGATAACGATAACATTAAAAATGAACATATATCGATATGCTGGCCGATATATCGTGCATTCCTAGATAATATTACTAAATATTAAGTGTCTTTTAAACCCCAGTCCATTTCAAAGCTGAAAAAGATCAAACTTGTTTCCTCTGCATGTATTTCCCGCCCACAGTTCATCGGCTCAGACTACAGCAGTTATTCCTCAGCCAATCAGAGGCGGGTGTGTGCGTGATGTCACAGAGTTTCCTCAGGCTTCTCATGCCACAGCGACGGCTGTATGATAGACGACTGCTCGTCTTCGCACCTGTGATGTCAGATTATGACAGCGATAAGAGCTCAGAAATACTACAGTGTACTAGGTTACAACCCCTCCCTGCAGTGAGCATGACCGGGTCACTCGCTGAACGCCGTGTTCTTCCCCACCTGCGGCCCGAAGCGCTGGTCTGACAGAGAGAGACAATATTCTCATACATATGAGTGCTAGCAGTCTAAAAGCACATGTCAATCAATAGGTATGTTTGGGTAACACTATATTTAACTGAATGTCCTGCTTTTCTGCTGGCCTGCTCTTGTCACAACCTCAACCAGCTTCTCAAACGCATGTGTCTGAGGTGGCGAATCCTCAGTATCTGAATCCTCAGTACTGACTACGTTTACATGCAGCCAATAACCCGTTCAAAACCGGGATATTAGCAATAATCCGGTTGCGAACGGCCATGTAAACACCGACAAAAACGCGAATATGCTCATATACTGGATTTTAAAAACAGGGATATTACACCTGGGGTACCCCTTAGTACCCCTTTTCTAACCCGAATTTTTGGTCATGTAAACGCGTATCGGCATATCCCCATAATGATTTGTGTTCTGCGCATGTTCTATTCGCAAGCAATCTTGGTCTTTTGAGTAGAGAAACTTCTCGGCGCATTCAAAAATCCGCGTGCAGTATACCGGAAGTAAACATGAGAGAGCGGATCATGTTGGAGTTGGAGCTTATGGTGCGTTCTATTATAGCCAACCGACGAACCGACTCGGACCTCGGATTTGACGTCACGTCCACACTTCAAGCGTTCTATTTGTTTTGCGCGTCCGAGTCGGAGAAAAAAATGGACGCCACCTGGAAAGCTGTTAGAATGGTAGCACTAGCCGAGTACCAGGCACTTACATTAAAAAAAAAAATTATTATGACTACACCTTTTTAAAACGCAGCCATTTGAACATTTGAAAATGTTCACTTTATTAATGTTTTTCATGTTAATCTTCTGTTAACAACGCTAGCAACGTCAGTAATTGCACTCACAACAACCGATTCCCATGCCTACAGGGACGCAGTGATTATAACCGTCATTTAAAATACCAAATCGGTTCAAAAACAATGAAAACAATTCATTCTTACAGGGCGCAGCCATCTTGAATTCCGAATTGCTCGGTGTCCTCACGGTTGTCCGACGTCCGAGAGGAGAAATCCGAGGAAAGGGGGCGTGTTGCTAGGCAACGTCTGTCGTCCGATTCGGATCTCCGAGACGGATGAATAATAGAACGCACCATTATTGAGGTGGAAAAACTTTTAGTGAAATTACTAAAACTGAAAGGCAGGCAGGAATGAGAGAAGACGTCAGAGGCGATGGTAAGTGTGGAAATGCGTAGGAGGAAATACATTACATTTTTGAGGAGGTGCGCGTCAGGCTACGCGATATGGGACGCGTCTGTGCGTATGCTATGCCCTACTGCGCGCACCCTATGCAGAAATATTTAAATTGGCCTTTACCAGCATCAAAGCGCAAAAAAGGCGATAGCCATCTGCTCCGAACTATTGATTATCCGCGTGCTGCTGCTGCTGTTGTCTTTGGAGATAGGAAGAAGAATCGGAATGCATGTTGCGGTTGTCTGTACGTCCAGACGCTAACCGCGCGTTGCCGTTTACATCGAGATATTAGGATATTAGGGACTTTAAGCAACAGCTGCTGATAGAACGGCGACGGCAGCCGGAAGTAAACGGTTAAGAGCCGAGCGCAAAAATCACTAAGCAACAGTAAAGAGGACGGCATAGGGGATAATTTAATCATCAGACAAAATATAAAAAGAACGTGATTTTAAAAAGTAAGGGAAGGGTTGGTTTTGGCACTTAATGATACAGACAGAGACGATTACAATCCCACATAACCTAAAACATAACATAACATATCTTAAAGGAGAACTATGAACCTTCATCGGTACATAGTCAATCATTCTCTGAGTTTTGTTTTCATGATAATCGAATGTAAAGAGTTTTATCTCTAAAAACTGTTTAGCGTATAATGCTAGTATGGGGGCATTGACAAAGTAAAAAGAAATCGCTAGTTTATACCACTAACAAGGCTCAAAATAGCCCCACACTAACTCAGTAACATAATGAGGCTCCATACACGCAAAACGAAGCATTGAGAACTTTGTAAGTGTACAGACCGTTTAATAAGAAGATACTTTATGAAGACAGTTCACTTCGCGTGCACAGACAGAAGCCATCTTAGGAAATAGTCTCGATAAGTCGATCCCCGAACGCCGTTCATACAGTTCAGATCACTCAGCACGACGTTCGTGGTTTGACTTATTTTTGAATGGTTGTGTTCCCACATCGTTAGCTAGTTTGGATCGCTATAACTTGAATGACTGTCAACTGTTGAATAAACGAGTGTCAAGCATGTCAAGTCGCGCTGTTTACTTCCAACCGGAAGACGTGCCCACTTTTGACGCAAGGCCTCATGGGGCGTAGGAAACTTGTGGATACAGGAGAAACTCTCTCTGCTTACACATGTAAACGGATTATACCTAATGTTTCAGAAACCCGAATAGTGACCTTAACCCGACCATAACCCGAAAATTGGCTGCATGTAAACGTAGTCACTAACATACAGTAGAAAGTTGCAGTGTCAGTGCCTCAATCGGGGTGTAAGGAACCGCAGCGCGTGCTTCCAAACCAAAGAAGGCACTGGACCTATCAGTTGAGAGCAGAGAAATAGCGTGGACAGCGGTGCACACACGTCAGTTTCACACAGAAGCTAGCACTGCTCTGTTTTTTGGGCAGGCTTTATAGTTTCCTGGTTAAACCTCTGACGTTCTGCCACACCGCTGGACTGATTTTACATGCGTTTCAAGACGTCATCACACTCGACGCAGCGCGAGTTCCCTTGAAATAGAAGCAAGTTTTGCCTGTAGTCTCTTACCTTAAAGGAATAGTTCACCCTAAAATGAAAATAAAGTTATTATTTACTCACCCTGGTGTTGTTGTAATGCCGTAAGCCCTTATGAACCACAAAAGGACAATTAAAAAAAAACTAAAAACTGTCCTGCTTGTGCTTGTCCATATAATGGCAGTGAATTGTACGGAGGCGTATTGCATTCACTTGAAGAAAAAAAATCTACTCTGTTTTTCTGAATTAACGAGTTAATTTTTCATGAGAAAAAAAAATTTGCTCTGTTTTTCTGAATTAATGAGTTAATTTTTCATGAGAAAAAAAAATTTTGCTCTGTTTTTCTGAATTAACGAGTTAATTTTTCATGAGAAAAAAAATTTTTGCTCTGTTTTTCTGAATTAATGAGTTAATTTTTAATGGAATTTTTTTTTTGCTCTGTTTTTCTGAATTAATGAGTTAATTCAGAAAAACAGCAAAAAATAAATTTTCTCATGAAAAATAACTCATTAATTCAGAAAAACAGAGCAAAAACTTTTTTTCTCAAGAAAAACTAACTCATTAATTCAGAAAAACAGCAAAAAATAAATTTTCTCATGAAAAATAACTCATTAATTCAGAAAAACAGAGCAAAAACTTTTTTTCTCAAGAAAAACTAACTCATTAATTCAGAAAAACAGCAAAAAATAAATTTTCTCATGAAAAATAACTCATTAATTCAGAAAAACAGAGCAAAAACTTTTTTTCTCAAGAAAAACTAACTCATTAATTCAGAAAAACAGCAAAAAATAAATTTTCTCATGAAAAATAACTCATTAATTCAGAAAAACAGAGCAAAAACTTTTTTTCTCAAGAAAAACTAACTCATTAATTCAGAAAAACAGCAAAAAATAAATTTTCTCATGAAAAATAACTCATTAATTCAGAAAAACAGAGCAAAAACTTTTTTTCTCAAGAAAAACTAACTCATTAATTCAGAAAAACAGCAAAAAATAAATTTTCTCATGAAAAATAACTCATTAATTCAGAAAAACAGAGCAAAAACTTTTTTTCTCAAGAAAAACTAACTCATTAATTCAGAAAAACAGAGCAAAAAAAATTTTTCTCATGAAAAATTAACTCGTTAATTCAGAAAAACAGAGTAGATTTTTTTTTTCTTCAAGTGAATGCAATACGCCTCCGTAGAATTGCAACCAGCATTGAGCTTTTTTTAAAAATACGTCTTATTTCTCACGTGTTCTGCTGTTTACAGTAGGATTTGGTTAAAAACTAAACGAAATTCAATGTATTGTTTAATTAAATTCCTCAGCGTGGCGATTGGTCTTCAAGTTTCAAGATTAATGAAAACATGTTTTTGGTTGAATGAAAAATACATATCCACAAAAAACGGGATGACATGACAATGAAACCTCGCCTAAATCAAGAATCTGACATTCACAAATCCCAGTCTGGCCTGCGTATGACCTGTTGTTGTGTTCGCTGAAGTGGAAACTCATTGACATCTGTCTTGTACTGTAATTTCCAGCTGAATGCATGTAAAGCTCGGCGTGAATGTGTACACTCTTTGTCTGTAAATGATAGTTCATTAGACAATATCATGCTTGTTTGCCTTAAACCAAGCATGACTAATTGGGTTATCCCCGTCATGCTGAGACAGAATAACTGAGGGACATATTGGCTGGTTGAAGGGTAAATATTGCCTTATATAATTTACAATAATTACACAAAAAGATCAAAGTTGTGCGTCACTGTCATATTGAAATAGGAACTGTAATATTTGCCAAATTAAGCTTCGCGGAAACGGCTTTGAGTTATGAGTAACTCGTGCAATAAAGGCAAACTTTTGTGTTTTAGGTCAAGATCAGATGCAGTTTATAAACATCCATCAATAACCAAATAGTTGCATTGTTTTCTGTTATATCCACAACATAAAACCGTTATTCTCAATTCTTTCTTGATCAATATTTATAATTAATATTTGACCTTACACATTTTTTTTTTTTTGCATCTGGCATACTTAAATAATTAATCTTGCACAAACATTTATGTAAACATTTATGTAAACACATGTTTACATTTTTATGCTTGTATTTATTAACATGCATCATCCTATTAACCCTTATGCTGCATTAGGGACATTTTTGGTCTTTTGCAGTTTAATTTCTTTGACCATTTTGGCTGTTCTAATGCAAATGGTATGAAATTTGGCAAAATTGTGACTTTTTGGATACATGTAAAAAATGTGATCCCATTTTGCAAAATATGTATAACACACACTGTGTAGATCAAATAGTAACACTCAGCACCATAAAGACCAAAAATGGCCCATTGAAACCCATTAAAACATTGTTTAAATCTGAGGCTGTCAGTAATACATGAAACATGATTTTTGCACAAACATCCTTTCATTTTGAAGCAAAAGCATTATATTTGCATTATATAGTGTATTCCACCAGATGACGTCACTACATATTTATTCCCTATGGGTGGAAATGCACCTTATTTTAGGCAATAGGCAATGTTTAATAGGTGGCCATTTTTGGTCTCTAACGCGCCAAGTGGGATTTTTTGCAAAGTGGGACTGTGATAATCCAAATCTAAAGTTTTCTCTTTGCATTTAGTTTATTGAAAATAATTGAATTTTTGTGTTTTTTCCTCTTATACAAATCGATGGTTTCGCAAACAAAACTGGTAATTAAAGGGTTAAAATCCTGAAATTGAATTTATTTTTGGTAGTTATGATGAGGACTGATGCTGGTTAAAAGATTTAACTTGGTAAAAGTGGAAAATAATAATAATATATAATATTTTAGGCAATGTTTAATATGTGGCCATTTTTGGTCCTTAATGCACTCAACGGTGTTAAAAATCTAATGCAGCACAAGGGTTAAATAAATGAATAAATAAAATAATCAAGAATCAGTGTCAAATATTCGGAGAGATCACAGTTAGTTTCATATAACACTAAATTATGATCATTTGTTGTTAATTTTAGTTAAATTGTTGATCTGCATGAGAGCCTCGTAAAGGTTTGACATGCAGTGAAGATGACGAGCGTGGCGCTGAAGGCCACACGGGGGCTCTCAGGGGTCAAAGTTCAGCAGTGTCGTTCACTGAAGTCAGAGACGTGTAAACCTGAAGTTTTGATGTTGTACGTTAATCAGATAGCGAGACAGAGAGATATACTTTAAATGGTTCTGTCAGGCCAGGCGCTTCATTCATGCTTTTAGGGGTTTTAGACTTTTTTTTATCTTTAGATCATGCAATTTTGATTTTATAACTCACAATTATACTTTTATAACATGCAATCACACAATTCTCACTCATATAATGCAATTCTGAGAAGAAAAAAAAAATTGTGTGATTGCTTTATCCAAATACTTGAAAAATGTAACCTGTAAAATACGAGTATTATGCAAAGACATTTCTAGAACCTTTTTGTCATAAAAACTTCTTTAAAATTGAGTCAAGAACCCATAAATCAATATAAAACCCCTTAATGCAAACATAAAAACGCTTTCATTTCACGCTCTGTTCATTTTTCCTCAAAACGACGTGCGAAACGTCCAATATTTTAAAAGAAAAAGAAAATACGTTTATTTATCTATTTATTTTTTAGTACCAACAAACTTTGGTAATTTTAGCAGGTTTGAGCAAAAAATGCATCCTCTACAATGTCCAAAGGATGCAAATGACAAATAAATAGCACAGCGAAATAAACATATACATCTTTAAACATCGACAGTAATACTACATAAAGAGGTTTATGGTACTTACTCTAACACAATTTGTTTTAAATAAAGCTCTGCAGGTTTACTTGGCACGTGTACGTAATAAATATCTAGTCGTCTTCATCAACACACAGCGGTTTCGGCTCCAGTTTTTCCAAAACATTTGAGATCCATATTCTCTCGCGTCCGAATGTTTGAACACGATTGCAATGTAAAGCGTCTCCCACTTGTTGCGTTGGTCTATTTATGGTGTAAGCATGTTTTGTTCAATATCCTGCTGTACATGTCCTGTAGCTCCTCTGAAAATATTTGGTTTTTGATTTTCGGGTTTTGATCCTTCAGTGCTTGGCCAGCTCAAGCATGACCTCCTCAGCGGGTCTCCAACAAAACCAAGATCAGGTTTCTTCTGTAGTGTGAGCCGTTTCGTTGTGTTTCCTGGTCTTGGAGTTGACAGTACAGCGAAGGTTTGTTGGTGTACGAGAGACTGGAGTGTGTGTGTGTGTGTGTGTGTGTGTTTGGTCTCAGTGTGGTTTCAGGAGGCGAAGTATGAGCTCTGCATGGAGTACAGGCGGTCGATGGGGTTTCCCACGCGGGTCTGAAGGGAGCCGGCGTCTGACGCGGCCAGAAAGCAGTCGCTCAGGCTGGTCAGAGACGTGTCACTGTCGATGTCGTGGAAAATCGAGTCGTTTCCTACAGAAGAGCAGACTGCATTAGGTCGATTAGCATGATAGATAACTTCTGCTCAACCACGCTGCATTTAATTGATCAAAAATACGGTAAAAAATGAGAAATATTATTACAATAGAAAAATTACTTTTTCTATTGTAATATATTGTGAAACGTAATTTATTCTTGTGATCAAAGCTGTATTTTCAGCATCATTACTCCAGTCTTCAGTGTCACATGATCCTTCAGAAAACACTTGATGCTCAAACGTTATTGTAATGTTGAAACAGTTATTGCTGCTTATTATTTTAGTGAAGAACCATATTTTTTTCCAGGGTTATTTGATTAATAGAAAGTTTAATAGAACAGCATTTCTTTTACATAGATTTTTTTTACTAAATCCTAAGCATCCACGCAAAAAAAAAAGAAAAATCTTATTGACCCCAAACCTTTATTGGTGTATATGATGAAAGTATAAAAATATACTCATAATAGTGATCAGAGACAGATGTAATTCGTTTTACCAATATTTCCTCACCAGTCTTCGTTATCAGTTCCGTATTATAATTTTAACTGGTAAATACCACAAATTGGTGGATCTTCACAGGTTATATCACTATTTCACTTCTTAGAAAAAAAACAAAAACAAATATATATATATATATATGTATATATAATGACACTAATAATAATATTCATGATATATTAAAAATAGTGCTCTCAAAACGATTATTTAACTAGTATAAAAGCGTATTTAAATATATTAGGGCAAAATAAAAGTTTGTGTTTACATAATATATGTGGGTGCACTGTGTATAATTATTTCATATATATATATATATATATATATATATATATAAATACACACACATGCATGTATATTTAAGAATAAAATATTATTTATATATAAAATATTTATATTTACATATAATATAAATTATATATAAATCTATATACAGTTTATGCATGAAAATATTTCTTAAATTTATACAAGCATGTGTGTGTACTTATATATATAAAATAATTATACACAGTACACCCACATATATTATGTAAACACAAACTTTTATTTTGGATGCGATTAATCGTTTGACAGCCCTAATATATATATATATATATATATATATATATATATATATATATATATATATATATATATGTATGATGTATGTGTGTGTGCAAATATATATTTCATAGTTATTCAATTATTAATTATACACTATCGATTCGGGATATCAGTTTTTAACTATTTAACCTTAAATATAATTGTCATTGGCTGTAAAAATGCATTATCAATCGATCTCTAATAGTAAAAGTTTCAGCAAGTACCGCTAACAAACAAATATGGTGAAGTCATTGAACAGAAGCTTGTGGTCCTCATGGACACAGTTAACCATAAGCCATAGAAATATGATTACACAAGAGTAGAACTGAGACTCTCGACTGCTTTAATTGGCTATAAAACGTTATATAAAGATCATATAAACGGCTCGTTTGCGTCAGCTCGCAGCGGGAGAAAACGCACGTATCAATATGTGATGGAGCGCGTCTGATTCACGCTCGCTTTCTCAGGAGGGCTGCATGTATTTTTATAGGCTTTTCAAAAACTAATTGACACTGTTACATAAGGGTGAAGACAGTTTAATGGCACATTTATTTTTATTGGGCCCATACGTGGCACTGGCGGCCGCTTCTGGTCAATATCGCTCCGAAGAGGAGCAACGGGACGCGAGTTTTGCTTTCGGAGACGGGTGACGTGTTGGCTGCTCACCGTATGGGTTCATGTGATCTCCGGGCATCTGTGGAGGAGTGAGCCCTTGCTGGAACGGGTCTGTGCTGTATCCGTTGGCCTCCATGGACACTAACTGGTGCTGTGGAGGCGGAGCCAGCGGCGTATACGAGTTCATCAGATTCTCCATTCGGCTTGAGATCACATCTGCAGACATGAGTTGAGTTACTGATGTGAACCTTGCTGGAGAACAGCATGTGTTGTGGAAGCGCGCGTGTGTGTGTGTGTGTACCTTGTCCGATTCTCTGAGAGTTTTGCTGCTCTTGTTGCTGCTGTTGTCGGCGCGCTAACTTCTTCATCTGAGGAACATACAAATACTCAATCAACTCTATTGAAGAGTTACTTAGGCAGTGTTATTTAAGTATTTTGAATGACCTGTTATTTTTACATTTTCAGTTTTCAGCTTCTGTCATTTTTTTTATTAGTTCTTTATTTAATATTAATATTTAGTTTTTTATTTATTATATTTCCTGTTAGTAATTTTAGCGATTTGACTTAAACTAAAATGTTACAAATTTAAGAATAAATAAATAATAAAAGATAAGATAAATTCAATAAATTAATCAATTCATTAATAGATAAATAATTCGAATAAAACATTAAATAAATAATACATCTCATTTACAGTACAGTAATATAGCAAGCTTATTAATATTTTGAAAGTAGCTATTATTTTTTTTCCATTTTCACATAATTAAAAAAACAATATTAATATTTAGGTTTAAGTAATTTTTCATTTTAGTTTAAGTTTATTTTCGGTTAGTAATTTGAGGGATTAAACTTAAACTGAAGTGTATTTTTTTTAAATAATAAATAAATAATGAAAGAAAATAGTAAAATAATAAATAAATATTTTGATTAAAATAAAAAAAATATAAAATTATTTAATTAAAAAAGATTTAAATAAACAAAGCGAGTTTTTATTCATATTTATTTTTACACTTTTTTTATTTTAATAAAATGTTTTAATTTTTAGTGATTAATTTTATGTGCTTGTCATTCATATTTATATATATAAATACATGGGTATATACGTAAATAATAATTAACGTATATTCAATTATAATAGGTTTAATACATTTTATTTCAGTTTTAGTTTATTTATTTTATTTCCAGTTAGTTTGATCCAACTCAAAATGTAACAAATGTAAAAATAAATAATAAAAGATAATATCTAAATAAAGTAAAATAAATAAATTATTAAATGAATGAATTAATAATACATCTGTAGAACAGTATTAAAGTGAGTAAAAATATGCGTCATATTTATAATATTACACTCTAAAAAATGCTGGGTTGTGTTAACCCAATTTTGGGTAAAATATGGACAAACCCAGCCATTGGGTTACATTTTTAAATTACATTTTTTACCCAATGGCTGGGTTTGTCCATATTTTACCCAAAATTGGGTAATTGTTAACTGTTCCTCACACACGGCTGATGTTATCTGGTTGCCCATGAGCAGATCGAGCAGCGCTGACGGTTGACCTAGGCTGGGTTCAGATCTCACCTTTGCCCTTTGGTTCTGAAACCACACCTGGACGACTCGAACGCTCAGACCGGTCTCAGCCGCCAGAGTCTCTCGGACCTGAAACACACACCAGCAATGAACATCAGTCTCGTATACACTGTAAAAAAAAGTTGTAAATAAAAGCAAAGATTTTGGAGAAGGTTTTACAAGAAAATACTTAGTCTTTCTATACTCAATGTGTTCCTTGCAGTTTCTTTGTAATTATTTGTGAGTGAAAATTGTTTGGATCACCATCTATTGTGTTGAAAATGATGTGATCTTATGTGATTTCTAAGTTTTTCTTATTATGTGTTTTAATGTTGTGATTTTATGTGCTGTCATTCCATCTCATGTGTTGGTAATTCTTTAAATGAACTTAATTACATTGTGGAAAGCACATTGGTCAACGGCTGTGGTTTTAAATTGTGCTATTCAAATAAATTGTCATTGTCAGGACAGTTGTTTTAGTGTACGAAGACCAGCAGCGTGAAGTCTGATCCCTCAGTGCCAGCCATTTGTATATGAAATATTTACATTATTCAATTAGCAGACACTTTTATCCAAAGGTGACTATTAATATGCATTGTGCAATAGTCAAGTCAAGCATATAACGCTTTTTATAATATAGATTGTTTCAAAGCAGCTTCAGAAAATAATGCTGAAGCGTTCGTGTTCAAACTCGTTCATCAAAATGAACGAATCTTTTTTCGAGTCATTTGGTTCATTCAACGAATTAAATGACTTGAAAAAAGATTCGTTCAGTTCAAACAGGAGAGTCACAAACCCTCTTAAACTTAAACTTTTGTATTTATTTTGGAAATGATCGATCGTTTCGCTTGATAAGACCCTTATTCATCGTCTGGTGTCGTTTAAAGCCCTTTGAAGCTGCACTGAAACTCTCATTTGGACCTTGAACCGTTTGGACCCCATTGAAGTCCATTATATGGAGAAAAATCCTGTAATGTTTTCGTCAAAAACCTTAATTTCTTTTCGACTGAAGAAAGAAAGACGTGGACATCTTGGATGACATGGGGGTGAGTAAATTTTCAGCAAAAGTTTTTTTTAAAGTGAACTACTCCTTTAAGGTTGGTTTGGGGTTTATTATGAAGGTCTCACCTTTCTGCATGGTTTGGAGGAGACCTCGAAGGAGGCCTTGAAAGCGCGCCGCTGCTGTGTGGTGAGGATAGTGCGAGGTCTTTTGGGTCTGCGCGGGTCTTTGCCATCATCGCTGCCTTTACCCTGTCCTGCTCCTTTCTCCTGCTTCACATCCACATCTTCATCCTCACTTTTATCTGCAGAAACACACACTTTAACATCACCTTTCTTCGCAGAGCAGACGAGAGGAGAGGCTAGAGTTGTGTTCTCACCGGAGTCGGACATCTCCGGGCTGACGGAGCGCAGCAAGTCCTTCTCTCTCTCGTAGTCGCTCTTACACAGCAGCTGTCCCTCCTTCAGGACGAACTCGTCTCCTTTACACAGCTGCCGCTCACACACACAGCAGCAGAAGCAGTTCAGATGATACACACTCTCCAGTGCGCGCATCACGAACTCAGTGGGAGCGATCTTCTCCAGACAGCCGCTGCATTTGGTCGCGAACAACCTGACGAGGAGAAGCAACTAATCAAAACACGTTCATGGTCGCATTCATTTATTAGTGCACGCCTTTCTGAGGAAATAAAGTGTGTGTTTTCATATTATTTCTTTAAAATTCATATTATTAGTATAATAGTTAATTTTCCATAAATAAAGATAAATGCATTGCATTTGTTGTTATTTTAAATGTTTAAAAGCTGCGAGCAAGTTTTCTCTTTTTTATAGAAATGACTACTTTTATAAAGCAAGGATGCACTGCATTTATTAAAGGTGACAGTAAAGACATTTATGATGTTTACAAGAGATTTCAAATAAATGCTGTTCTTTCAAACTTTCAATTCATCAAAGAATACTTAAAAAAATATTGTGGTTTCTATTTCAAATATTTCTTGAGCATCAAATCATCATATTATCATGATTTCTGAAGGGTCATGTGACACTGACGACTGGAGTAATGATGCTGAAAATGCAGCTTTGATCACAGGAATAAATTACATTTTTACAATATATTCAAATAGAAAACAGCTCTTTTAAATAGCAATAATATTTCGCAATTTTACTATATTTATTATAAATTAAATGCAGTCTTGGTGAGCAGAAGAGACTTCATTCATCTTACTGACCCCAAACTTTTGAATGGCAGAGTTCGCAGATTTATATCACCGGATTTGAACATGACATATTGTAGGCTACACAGCAGGATCTCTGGTCTTAATTATTTAAAGTACAACGTGAAACAGCAAAGCATTTCTTTGGTTAACACTCAAACACCCTGACGTGAAATCCACCGCAAAGCTCAATAATTCTGACGCATTAAGCAGATCTTCCCTCAGAGCGGCGTCTTCTCCCACTCCAATAAAGTTCATCCAGAAATATCACAAGCGCACAGATCAATGCGTGACTGACACCGGACGCCCCAGCGGTGCCGCCGCGCTCGTGATTATGACTTTGAAAGAGATTTTTAATAAGCCTCGAGATATGATGGTATCATGAGGTGAGACGACACAAAAGAGTTTTACAGAGGAGTCAATATTCAGAGAAGGACCCACAGGAAGGAAAACCACAGATGAGAAGATCTCTTTAATATCTCGACTGTTTCTCACAGGCATCTCAAACTCGCCAACATCCCAAAAACTGCTATCAAAGATCTCAACAAACACATTTCCTTTAGCTTATTGTTTGACATATGTCTCACATGATTATGCATATAATTGAGCCATTGAACTTTCAGCAATACCCTTTTCTACAAAGTACAAGGTGTTCAATGTTCTCCCTCAAACCCTTCCTTTCTCCATCTTCTGCTAATGTTTAATAATCGCACATGTTTCTCTTCTTCCTCTGTCTGTCACTTCCCATTATGCTGGTGTCTGTAATTCCCATGATCCTTCTGGAGATCCCCCTTTCTTCTATTGTTCTTGAGAACTAATCCTGTCCTTTTCTCTGTCTTTTGTTGACAGGACCACAGCGCCGGCTTTGTCCCGAGTCTTTGTCAGAACAGCCATGAGTGACACTTGCATCAGTGCGACTCTTCAAGGAACGTTAACAGAACCTTCGTTCAGTGCTATCTGCTCTTAAATAATGTTCTTAAAATGTTATTTATACATCGTTCATAATTTAAGTTTAAGAATGTTCGGAACATTCAAAAGTTTTCAGAATGTTCGGAACATTTAAAAGTTTCAGAATTTTTGGAACATTTAAAAGTTTCAGAATTTTTGGAACATTTAAAAGTTTCGAATGTTCTGAACATTTAAAAGTTTAAGAATTTTTGGAACATTTAAAAGTTTCGAATGTTCTGAACATTTAAAGGTTTCAGAAAGTTCCGAACATTTAAAAGTAGAACATTCAGAATGTTCGCAACATTCAGAAAGTTCAGAACATTTAAAATTTTCAGAATGCTCAGAACATTTAAAAGTTTCAGAATTTTCGGAACATTTAAAAGTTTCAGAATGTTCAAAACAATTCAAAATTTCAGAATGTTCAGAACATTTAAAAGTTTCAGAATGTTCGGAACATTTAAAAGTTTCAGAAAGTTCAAAACATTCAAAAGTTTCAGAATGTTCAGAACATTTAAAGGTTTCAGAATTTTTGGAACATTTAAAAGTTTCAGAATGTTCAAAACAATTCAAAATTTCAGAATGTTCAGAACATTTAAAAGTTTCAGAATGTTCGGAACATTTAAAAGTTTCAGAATGTTCAGAACATTTAAAAGTTTCAGAAAGTTCAGAACATTTAAAAGTTTCAGAATGTTCGGAACATTTAAAAGTTTCAGAAAGTTCAAAACATTAAAAAGTTTCAGAAAGTTCAGAACATTTAAAAGTTTCAGAATGTTCGGAACATTTAAAAGTTTCAGAAAGTTCAAAACATTAAAAAGTTTCAGAATGTTCGGAACATTTAAAAGTTTCAGAAAGTTCAAAACATTAAAAAGTTTCAGAATGTTTAGAACATTTAAAAGTTTCAGAATGTTCGGAACATTTAAAAGTTTCAGAAAGTTCAAAAAATTAAAAAGTTTCAGAAAGTTCAAAACATTAAAAAGTTTCAGAATGTTCGGAACATTTAAAAGTTTCAGAAAGTTCAAAACATTAAAAAGTTTCAGAATGTTCGCAACATTCAAAAGTTTCAGAAAGTTCTGAAAATTTAAAAGGTTTCAGAAAGTTCGGAACATTTAAAAATTTCAGAATGTTCAAAACAATTAAAGATTTCAGAATGTTCGCAACATTCAAAAGTTTCAAAATGTTTGGAACATTTAAAATTTAGAATGTTCAGAACATTTAAAGGTTTCAAAATGTTCGGAACATTTAAATGTTTCAGAAAGTTCAAAACATTTAAATGTTTCAGAATGTTCAGAACATTCACATTATGTTCTCAAAATTATAAAATGAAATGTTTCCAAGTCAAGAATGCGAATGCACAAGTAAACTCGACAGGATGAGTTACACACTGAAGTTTTACAGATAAAACTAACTGAGTAATAGTACTACTGATTGTTTGACTTAAGACAAGCAATGTGGAAATTAACTAAAAGAAGATGGTGCATAAGATTTTTGGCTTACACTTTATTTCAATGGTCCACTTTAGACATTCTTCTAACTACAAGTAAATTTGCAACATGTGAATTAACTCTCATTAGAGTAGTGTTAGGTGTTCAAGAATAAGCTGACATTGCAAAGTTACTTATAGTTAGTAAAATGACTATAGTGGACCATTGAAATAAAGTGTAACCAGTTTTTTTGGTCTCTTTTATGTGTGTGTGTTGGAGAGAGAAAGTACCATAAGAAAGAACTTGTTTTGATTGACACTGTGCAGTTGTTGAAACTAATCCCTCTTTAACACCATTAAAGACAACCTTAAGAAGTGAAAGTCTTCACGCTCAGTCAGTCATGCTTAGAGAAGCCTTCAGATCTGTGATCTTCAATGTGTGCATTTGATATCGATGTTTGTATGTGTGAGGGGGTTTTATTTATCCTTCTCTCTCTATTTGTTTGCCATAGATCAGAAATGTAACAAACACAAATAATAATTTATCCCTCGTTTGCCGCCACCAAAGTTGTTCAGAGCAGACACGTCTGAACCGGCTTATGCAAAACCACCAAACATCTCTCCGAACACCAAACACCAGCCCGACCGAGAGAGAGAGAGAGAGAGAGAGAGAGAGAGAGAGAGAGAGCTTAAGACCAGAGATTACTTACAACAACATCTCTTCAGATCCGCTCTAGGTGCTTTAGAAACAAGAAGACATCATGTAGAATTCAATACGGGGTGACATTGATGATACGCAGAAGTTTATGCATTGGAGAAATGACAACACAAATTATTCAACTATTAATTGTAAAAGTATACAAAACGAACGTGGAGCAGCTCAGAATTTCACTAGAAACTTGGGATTTTCATATATAAGGCTCAAGAGGAGTGCGTCTACACACACATGCATTCAATTGTAACTGGTACGTCATTTAAAAGTAATTATATCCTTTTTACATTGCCTTTGGATGGCATTATGGACTTGCAGACCTCTCAATGTGTGTGTGTGTGTGTTTGATTTTTCCAACCGCCTCTTCCACATCCATACAGCACAGATGCATGTGCACTACAAAAGGACTAAAGATGTCATTAAACCCAGGCGCTTTCCTCTGAAGGTCCTGTATGGAAAATACCCTGTAGTCCACACACACACACACACGGCACGTTTACCACATTTAACTACACTCTGACCCTATCAAAGCATATAAGCCACATCCACTCGCCTCTATAAAATTCGAAAGATCTCAGATGCATCGAGTGTAGGAAGTGGGACTCGAGGTTCAATAACAATTCACTTAACTTAAAACACTCGAACAATGACAATTTACTATTTTAAATGTATATAAAACTTTATGCAATAGGCCTACAAAATGTTTCAAAGCAGCTTCACATTAATATCAGGAAAATAACGTTGTTATAATGTCGAAAAATTCACCAATTCTGAAACAAATTCAATTTCAGCTGTAAAGCAGCTCTACAGAAAACAATATAATTCAGTTCAAATTCTGTTCTCATCTGATAGTGTCAGTGCAGTTAAATCGATAATTATACTAATATTAATTATACATATACATATGAAGAGTTCAGATGCAAAAGCCTCTAAGTGCCATTTGAAATTTTCTTCTAAAATGATCATTTTTATCAAGCTTGTATATTTAAGTTCAGTGATTTCACTTAAATGGCAATGATAATTACCTATTAATTGTCATTTAAGTGAAATTACTGAACTTAAATATACAAGCTTGATAAAAATGGTCATTTTAGAAGAAATTTTTATATATTATATATATATATAAATAAATATATTATATTATATATATTAAATTAATATATATTATATTAAATATATTATTTATATATATAATATATTATATTATATATAAAATATATTATATATAAATATATATAAATATTTTATATATTTATATATATTTTATATATTATAAAATTTATATATACATTTTATATATATATATATATCAATAACCC